TCTAGCAACCAGTTGAGTGGGAGGATTCCTTCTGAGATTGGATTGATCAGCAACTTGAGAAGTTTATTGTTGCATGAAAACCAGTTGAGTGGAACCATTCCGTTGGAGATTGGATTGATGACTGCTTTGACTTCGTTGTCTCTGTATGACAACCAGTTGAGTGGCAGTGTGCCCAGCAGTCTTTGTTCCAACCCAAGTCTGGTGGTAGTGGTTGATTGTGCTCCAGATCCATTTCATGTGGAATGTACATGCGGTAGTGAATGTAGATGTTTTTAATTCAATTTCTTCTTGAGTAAATAATAATAATGTGTATTACTACGACTACGACGGCTATATCTACATTTCTTTTTGGGTACAGTACAAAGTTATAGAGCGACGTGATCATTCTGAGCTTATGCTCTTCCTGCTCTTCCTGCCCTTCCATTCGTGCGTTCTAGATGAGCGTGAGATGTACTAGTACCACAACGGGGGGTCTTTTGTTGGCTGCTGTGATGGAATATAGGTTGCTCTGTAGCTTTGATTTTACACTTCAAGTAACCATGGAATACATTACGCAGACTCAACCGAATCACAGGCAATCATTCATTCTTGCTTGCTTGCTTCTTGCTTGCAATCTTCCGGCCGACCAAGAGGAACGGAAGGTGTCAGGACAGTTTTCTGCTGTTCTGCCCCGGATTATAGGCCATCGGGATGATGCAGAAGGGAGGCAAGTTAACTCAAGAGCGGTGTCTCGCGTGTTTGTTGTGGGAAGCTTATTGTCAAGCATCGATGGGCCGTTGCTGTGCGCTGACGTTTGCAGTGCTGACGTTGCGGCGTGGATCGACCAAGTTGAGGATCTGAAACTTCGCGCCACCAATAGCCCCAGTCACAGATGATATTTCACGGAGCTTTGGTAACATTATTTCGCAAAACAAATTACAAGAACCCTCACCTACCTGTATAATAGTTGCAAGCTGCTGCCAATGATCCAGTTGCTTGCTGCGTCGTTGATGGTTGTTCGTTCGACGGAAGACACAATCCATCGCATTTTTGGTTTCGCAGAACATTTTTATTTGATCCTGTTTTTGCTTGGTTTGACAGAAGCAAATAATATATAGTAAAGGCACCATGATGTTTCGTTCGTTCAGCATCGTTGCCGCGGCGATCCTCCTGAGTAATAGCATGGAGGATGTGTCGGCGTTTACTCCCACTCGTGGTTCCCGTCTTTCGTCGTCGTCGTCATTGTTCCTGGCCGACACCGCCGCCGCCGTTCTTGAAAAAGAAGTCGTTTCGCCATTGGAAGAAGAAGAAGAAGAAACGACTACTACTGCCACGAAGAAATCGGAGAATCAAATTACGCATTTGCAAAAGAAACTGCGTTACTGGAAACAAGAACAAAAGAAGAAGGAGACCGAGTACAAGTCGTACCAGTTGCAAAAGACAGTGGAGCATCACACGAAACCAATTTATCGACGAGAAGGCAAAATCGATCATTACTCGATGCGTCCCGTCTACGATCAACAGACGGAGCGAATTCAGACGGAAGTATGGAGTATCAAGGAACAGATTAAAGTAACGCAAGCCATGTTGCACGAAGAACGGCGTGTCGAATCGGTCAAGAAAGAAGTCGACGACGAAATTCAAAGTTTAAAGGCGCAGCAGGAAGAATTGCGTCAACAAGCAGCGTTGCAATTGCAGTCCATGCAGGAAGAATCCACGGCCCGCTTGACGGAAAAAGAACAACAAATTGCCGCCGTCAAGAAAGATATTCAACAATTGTCGCAAGTTCTGAACGATAATCGCAACGAATTGCAAAACAAGGAAATTTGCTTGGATTCGCTCGAAAAGGAACTCCATCAAAAGGAAGCCATTCTGCATCATCTCAGTCGAGAACGAGCCAGTATTCGAGCATTGGTCAAACAGAGCTGGAGGGTACTCAAGAATCGATTCAAAAAACATATTTTGCACAAGGAATTGGAATTAGAGCAACAGGAGCAACCCGAGACGGAACAGGTCCTTGTGGCGGCCGGGGAAGCCAACAACTAACCGTGGGATCACGCCGTGCATGCGTGTTGTAGTCTCATTATTGTATTGCCAACGTAACAAAAGAAAGAAAGAAAAATAGTAGTGTGAAGTTGTTTCATTTCATTTACGCACTTCCATCAATCCGACTGACTATTAGCATGTCCCATGCATACGAGGTCCGCTGCCTCAGCCCACGGGGAAGCCATTTTGTTCGCTTGAATAGAAATTCCATGGATTGACCGGTCCTCCTTGCACCTGTCGACTTCGGGGAAGTAAAAAACAAGCGGTTCGTTCGAGGAGGGAATTCGCTACAGGTGCCATGCAGCATGAATGCATGCAAGGATGAGTTGGCGAACCGCTGTGACGGTACGACCGAAATGATTCGAAGCACCAGATTCAACTCTTCAGTTCATGTAAGGCATCGATAGATGGATGTACAAACAGTAAAGACAGATCCTGGCATACCCTACAGTATGGTAAAGCAATCCGCCCCCTCCTTGTTGGGCACCAGATCCTCTCATCCGGCCGACCTTCAAGAGCTTTGACGTTCCGAGAGGCAGAATCGGCATCGCCGAATAAAAGCTCCAAGTGAGTTTGGGAAGCTTGCTTTTGAGAGGGCAGCATGTTGGTCAGTGATTTTTAAAAAAGAGTGTTTTGAATGATCCCTGCACGTACCGGTATGAGTTTGGCCCATGGAGAGCGGCAGGTTGCGGATGAGGAGCCAAGCTCTTCCGCGCCTCGAAAAGCCCCAGCATCCTGGTCGTAGCATCTTTCCCAATAAGATGGCTTCCGTCGTGGAGGAAAACACCAGGAATGCTTGCGCCCGCTTCAAGAATACTGTCTTTGACGTTATGCATGACTGCTCGAATCATGGGATGTTGCCGTGGCGTCGGTTAGTGCTTTCTAATTTGAGCGCCCTAGCTACATGTACACAACGGACACGAGAACGGAGACGGCAGAATGACGGATGGGCACGACGAACAAAGACTTCCAAACAACACTAATACCTGAACTACAAAGTCCGCATACAAGTAGGCATTGAACGGCTTCATTGCTCGTCTAGCTAGGGATCCTTGGGCTTTTTTGGCTTCTTGTACTTTTCAGCGGGGTAACGTTTGCGTTTTTCCTCTCGCGCCTCCGCTGTGTTTTCTTCTCTCAAAGCCTGTGCTGCCTTTTCCCTGGCTGCTGCCCTAGTGATTTCGAACCACCCATTCTTATCCTTCTTGAGAAAGCGTCGACCTTCCCCAATCATTCTGTCTACAATCGCCAAGCTCATAATGGTCTTTTCATGCCTATCAAGAGTGTTGTAGGTTGGTTTGGCCTCATCGACAACTGCTCGATAGTGGTTGTTCCCCTTCCAAGTATTGCACAAAGTCCCACGGCCACACAAAATGTCAAGCTCAGTCTTCTCATGGTACTTTTTCACCTCTGGTTCTTCCCTTCTCTTCCTCTTACTGCCTCCTGCAGATTGGGCCTTTTTCTTCTTCGTGCCGAGTGCTAATTTTGGAGTCGATGGTGCTGAACCCGCGAGAGGATTGGTAAGATGATGGGCATACTTGCCAAACCAGTCGGAACTGGCATCACCACCAGATGGCCCAACTGTTGCTTCGTTGCTTTGATCGAGTCTGGACTTTCCCCATTGCACAAAACTGCCAAAACCTTGAGGAATGGAAGCGGGCTTTTTGTCGCCATTATCTTTCATCGGTGGCTCTGCGGGTGAGTACTCCCGAAGTTCCAGAATCCCAATGTGCAGTGTATTGGGCAGTTTCGAACCTCCGTCCATCGTCCTTTCGGGAATGTGCTCGTATGCATTGTTCCCAAAGACAGAGAAATCCGAGCTGGGCATAATTTGGGACAGCATATCAATGCTGCGAAATGCATCTGGTGTTGGCTTCTTGGCTGCACCGAAATCGACACTGATCATGAGATCCGCCAGCATATCCATACTACGGAACTCACTCGCTGGACCAATGTCGGCACTTGCGGTTGCGGTCTTGTTGCCAGTGGTTGTAGCTTCCGTCATTGCACGATTGAGAAGGGAATTCGCGCCGTAAAAAGCAGCCCCGGCAGCGCCAGGGCCATGGAACTGATTATTGTTGACTGCAGAAGGTTTTGCCACAGGGCTTGGGTGCTGTTGATTGTTCTTTGCGGCCTCAATTTTACAGCCACATTCCGGGCAAAACTTTGCTCCCGCAGGTGCAGCGGCTCCACATGCTCCGCAGGCACTCGGATCGGAGCTTGTGGGCAGTTGTTTTCCAACTGCTGTATTGCTGTGTTTTTCAACGAACGAAAAGACCGTCGGTGGCGACTTGGCGTTGTTGGCTGTTTCATTGGAATGGGAAAATGGTTCTCCATCCACGCTCTTGAAATTGAAAATGGGCCGTTTCATAGTATCGATACTGTCAAAGTCACTGCGTCGAGCTGCCCCCAGAGAATCCTCTGTTTTTGCTGCTGCTGGATCATTATCGACAGTGCGCATCATGGGATGATGCAACAAATCGACACTGGCAAAGGGACTGGTGGCGTCCATGACCAAGTTGAGGGAAGGCCCCGACCGTCCAAACTGCAATTGAGGCCGTGGCACCATGGCGGATCCAAGAAACAATTGTTCCACATCTTGTGCAATATCAGCACTAGCAAAACCGACTGTGTCGACCGTTTGAAACATGGGTCCCAATACCAACGAGGGGCACGAGGAGGATCGTCGTAATAAGGCGGGTCGAAAGACATTTCGCAATTGTGGATTGTTGATTGGATTCGGCATTGTTGATGCTGTTGGCTCTTGCAGTTCCAACCCATTGTTGTTGGTGATTTCCGTGGCCCAGTCGATGGAAGGAAAGGCATTTTGAATATCCTCAAAATCAGCACTCTGAAAGAGACTCCCAATGGACGGACAGGACGACCGGTTTCTCTTGACTATGCCCGGTTTTGTCAGTTGAGACCCTGCCGCTGTATCTGATGACGCAAAGTCGGAACTGGCAAACTCTTGTTTGGAAGAATCGTGTGATTGAAACTCTTGACATGAATTGGACCGTTTCAGTGGTTGCCGTTGTTGTTGTTGTTCTAATTGTTGTTTGTAGACATCTCCTAGAAACTGTTGCAACTTGGATCCGGTCGATTCCTGTCCTAGTACAATGGGAGGTTGTTCCACGCTCATTCTTCGTGCGGTTTCGGCAATCCTCGTCATGGCATCATCTTGTGGTTGTTTCTTATTATTATTCTTGAGTAGAAAGTAGGGTGTGGTTTGTCGACATGTCATTTTGGTGGGTCTGTCACTGGCTCCCAACAGGGATGGTTTGCGGGGTTGTTGCTTCTTCGAGTCGCCACTGGTGGTATCGGTAGAAGTCTTGGAGGATCTGTGGGTGGCCATTGCGGAATGCTGCAGTTCGATTATGGTGGTTGTTCCGGTAATTGGATTGGCAAAGGAGACGAGTCCTGCCATTTCCTGTTGCACTTGTTCCTGATAATTTGTGGTGGTGATACTAGTAGTACCGGTACCTCCTTGTAGGTACCGGTACTCCTCAGCGCCCTGCTCGGATGGCAAATTGGAAGTTTCATAATTGTCATTCTTCATGGCATTAATACCGGTAGTCTTGGACACACCAGAGGAGGACATGGCAGGGTCAAGAAAGAGCGTTGGGAGATCAGTTTTGGATTCTGTGATGCTTGTGATAGTATATATTTGTGTCTCGTTTTTGCTGCTGTTTGGCTGAGAAAAACAAATACAAAATAGCTACGTTTTTTACCTCGGCAGGTAAACTGCCTGAGTTCTCAACCCCTTTAATGCTATTTCCTATTTCCTATTTCCTATATCCTATTTCCTATTTGGTCTCCCAGACCACGCTCCTTTTGGTTTCCCCCTCAGTTGCACTCCAAAATCGATTTGCCGGCGTTTACTGTGTAAATTAGTGTACCCGCACTTCAGTTGCAGAATCAACGGTCATGTGTATCGTTAAGTAACAGGTTCTCTTCGAAAATTTTAGATTGATTCGTGGAGATTGAGTACGGCACAATGAATGATCGATATCATTGAAGGCACAGCACTGACTTCTCTCCCTCATTCAATTCCTATGGCAAACAGGAGAGAAATCCAAGCTTGGCCGACAACAATGCATGGTGAGTGCTTTATCCAATCGGCCGATCGAATCGAACGACACGAGGTAAGCCTATTATCAAGAGTGTTAATTGAAGGTACAGCGCTGACTTCTCTCCCTCATTGGATTTCTATGGTATTCAGGAGGGAAATCCGAGCTCGGCCGTCAATGGGTGAGTTGGTGCTTTATTCGAATCGAATCGATCGCTCGCACCTCTATTATTAAGCCTCGCTCAAGCAGGCTGTCTCCGGTGCAAATTGGAAAGCCATCCCTCATTGAATCCTATGGACCGTGGGATGGCAGTCAGTTCTCGGCCCATGACGGCCAAGTTGGTGCAATTTGAAAAACAATGGTAAGTCTCCGGTCGTCTGCAGTTGAGCACAGAAAACAAATCTCATATCTATTTATTGTTTTCTCTGCTGTACTGCTGACGGCCGATGAATTACCATTGTCGCGGTCCAACGAAAGATTGATCGCTCCGAATAACACGAGGAAGAAGAGGTTACCGCTACGGAGGTATGTGTACGGAAGAAACTGTTAACTCCAGCCCTACCAACAGCCTGAACGGATCGTCGTCGAGTCATTGAAAGGGAACAGGAGCAAGGCTAGCTACTCGACAACACACAAGAGAGTGGATCCTCCTACCGGATTCATCCCTTCTTGTTATTTCCTACTGTTTTGGTGGTGATTCCTGTGTCGGTACCCATTTTCCTGTATGCGCAAGTCAAGTACTGTTGCCACTAGCTATACGCATAGCTGGCTAAGATGGCTGGATTGAAAATATTCGGTTGTGCATGTATCGTCATAAGAGATCCAATCAAGGTACGTAACGGAGTGTAGCAAAAGTGAACCTGAGTGTGTTCGGTACTGTTGCACTGTCACGATCGATGATCTTACGGTAGCTGGCTAAATGGCTGGATTGACAATATCGGTTGTGCATTTATTCTCATAAGGATCCAACGAGGTACGTACAGTAGCGAGCAAAGCCGAACTGAGTGTTTCGGTACTGTTGCACTGTCGTCGATGTAGCTATACCGCTGCCGGCTACAATGCTGGATTGATATAATGTTCGGTTGTGCATGTATTCGTCATAAGGATAAATGCAAGATACCGCAACGGAGTGTAGCCAGCAAACGGAACCTGTGCATACCTAAAAGCTAGTGTAAAGATCTTTCGAGTGTTTTGAGTTTGAGAGAATGAAAGTTATGAGAGAGATTAGAAAGCTATGAAAACTAATCAACGAGAGAGATCATCATCAAGGATCGTAGATCTGGCCTCCCGCGGGAGACTATAAAGTGTGATAGAGTAGGTTGCGGTAGTAATCCTACGTGTCTCCACGATCCTAAAACGGAACGCGTGGAAGGTTTGTCTAGCATGGATCTAGTAGCGTGGAAGTGCTCCACGCTGGCTAAATATCTAGAGCGATGTTTCATCATCAACCTAGTATGACCAGAGCGGTCATTGAGAACCCTGTCTCAAATGACTATTCACGAGAGACTCAGTCATGAGTCAAACTCAAACCCTATCTAGGATCGAGTCGCGAATAAGGCTAAGAGCCGTGTATTGCACCTGAGTGCGTTCGGTACTGTTGACACTGTCGCCGATGTAACTGTACGGTAGCCGGCTACAATGGCTGGATTAACAATATTCGGTTTTGTGCATGTATTCGTCATAAGGATCCAATACGAGGTAACCGAGTGCAGAGAGCAAAGCCGAACCTGAGTGTGTTCGGTACTGTTATCACTGTCACCGATCGATGAACTCTACGGTAGCTAGCTACGATGGCTGGATTGACAATGTTTGGTTGTGCATGTATTCGTCATAGGGATCCAATGGGAGGTACCGGTAACTGTAGCGAGCAAAGCCGAACTTTCGGTACTGCTGCCACTGTTGTGGATGTAGCTATACCGCAGCCGACTACAATGGCTGGATTCATATTGTTCGGTTGTGCATGTATTCGTCATAAGGATCCAATGCAAGGTACCAGGTACCAGTAACGGAGCGTAGCGAGCAAAGCCGAAGCTGAGTGTGTTCGGTACTGTTGCCGATGTAACTTTACGGCAGCTAGCTACAATGGCTGGATTGACAATATTCGGTTGTACATGTAACTGTTGGTTGAGGCAAAGGGATACAGGAGACGAGCGCTGAAAAAACCCGAATGGTTTCCCACTCCCCGTCCACACATCAGTTCAAGAGCCGGTTAAGGTCTGGCCGTCGCTACCCCAAGATCCAGCTTTGTTTTGCCTTAAATTTTGCCATTTCAGCTTTTTTTGCTTTAAATTTCGCCTTTGGGCCAGGTAAACACGATTTTTTGATGAAATCGACCAGAAATTGACCAACCACGACCAGAATTTGCCCAACCATGGCCAGACCTTAGACGGCAAATCCTTCATTTTGAACCGATGTGTCCATCTCCGTCCATATTGTTAGAGATAGGGCTTTGTCGGTCCCCTTTAACGACAGGGATAACATGATCGTGTGGACCATACTCGTACCGGTACCAGGTACCCATCTATTACTAAAATGCAACGGCGACCAAGAAAAAGGAAGAAATCAAAACAAATTACAATGATGTTTTCATCAGTCACCGAGGTCGTAGACATCACCGACGATGTTGTGGTGGTAAACACATCGTACAAACTGGCATTGAATGGTACCTGGTAAGCCAAAGATAGTCACAAAATTGTAGTACATCAGAGTTAACCGGTGGAAGACGCTCTCGTCAAATGCCATGACTAATAAACAATTCAAACAAGCATGGAGAATATCAACAAGATGAGAAGGGTAAAAGCGGTCTTCAACTTTCAAAGTTTAGTGCGTTGGTCCAATGTTCTTTTGGAGACCAAATTGATACAGATTCTCGCAGTAGACCATACTGGAGATTGTGTTTCTGTAGTGGGTCGAGACATGGGAAACTCCGATGGACGACAACATCCGACAAGAGCTCGACAACTATCTCCACAGACTCTGTTGGATCTCGCGCCGTCTTGCGACCAAACTTGTTCAAAGCCTTATAATAGTCGATCTTGCAAAATCCAGACGAGGACGAAGAAGGCCGTTGCCTGGTTGCACCAAACGCATTGCTCTCAACTGGCATACCAATGCGGTGGCCTACATATGGATCAGTGAGAGTCACATTGCTGTGCTCCATAACTGACGCCAGCAATATCTTGTGCTTTCGGAAGATTTTTTCCAAACGATCCGGGGCGTATCCTTTCTTGTTGGTGTACCTGTACTTTCGAAGTGAAGTATTGAACATCAAGGCTTGGTAGAAGGGTTCTGGCTTTACAATGTAGCCTGCAATTCCAAGGGACTGCAGCACGTTGTTGTTCAGGAGAGCAACGAGCGGGTCCACGGGAATTTCTGCGTCGTTTCCACGTCTTTGTTCGGCGAATTCTGTTGGTGCAATGAGATGCAGCTCTCTCAACACGGGCATGGTTGCTGCACGGTGGAGAAGCCAGGAAATGCCCAATGGAGCCAGGAAAGAATCCTTGAACTCAAGCCTCTCTGTGGGACTGGAGCAGAAGGAGATTGTGTCAGAGATTTGTGAATTGTCGTCCACTAGCTGACAGGACAAGATGTTGACAATTTTTGGAGCGGCTTTGCTGGCAAAAAATGCCGCGAGTGGTTCCAAGCCCAAGCTATCCACATCTTTGAGAACAAGCTTTCGTAGGCCTGAACCACGCCCCGGGCCTGGGTCCAACCCGGGAAGAATGGCGTCAACCAAATCCGGCGAAGAATGAGGCGCGATGAGTTCCAGGTCTTCAATCTCACAATCGTTGCTACAAAGCCTGCTTAGCCCTTCTCTTACAAGCCTTTCGGGCACGTTCGAAGCGAGACAAGGGAGATCAAGTTTGATCGAAGACAACCCATCCTTGTGGCTTGCGAGACTCTCCATTGTCCGTGTAAACCCTTCCTGTGTCCAGAGTGCTGGATGACACTGAAGCGGTTTCTTGTTGGATTTCGTCGCGCTCCGAAGCAAAATCATGTTGATTGATTCTGCAGCCTGGGCGTCAAGTGTTAGCTCCCACCTTCTGGGCATGCTGAATGATGCGATTTCACATGACTGCTGCTTCATGACATCTAGAATCGTCTTGATAACTGGTAGACCGTACCCGTTCATTATTGCAAAGTCGAGCGCTGTATCACCGTTTCTGTTCATGTAGTTCACCGACTTTGGACAGATCTTGAGTAACAGCTGGATTGTTTCCAATGACGATTTAGATCGTCCCGGAGTGTCCTGCAACGCATGAACGAGCGCCATCTGTTGGTAGCAAGTATCTGTAAGCGTTTTGGGAAACTTCAACGAAACATATTCTACTACGGGTGTCGGGGCTCTGTATTCACAAGCTCTTCGGAGAATGTTGATGAGGTCAAAATCGCTGGAAAGCATCGAAGGATTCAGTTCGTAGACCGCCTCGATGATGTCCAAATCTGCTTGTCCCTCCACCAACAATCGCAAGGGCGAAACGCGGGTAGTTCGATTATCACCAGGGTACCTCACTTGGATTCGAGTTGATGTCAGGCGAGGAAACTCTTTCAAGATGGACAAAATTTGAAAGTGATCATTTCTGCTGATTGGTGCAGTGAACCATCGATCCGCGCTGAATCGGGCGGTGAGAAGATCTCGTGCTCTCTCTTCGGCACTTGCAACACAGTCGTCGACATAGTTCGAGTTCAGATTCCTCATGGTTTCATCGATCTCGCTTGGAGCAAAAAGGTACGTGGTGCTGCTCCATCCTCTGATTGAGATTCCAACAACGATTTTGGCGTGTTGGTGCCTCCGAAAGTTCTCGTGGATTTGGCGACGAGGCCTCGCTGTCACAGAGCGTTGTGGTCTGATTTTTCCCTGTCCCGCACGCCAGCCTGCAAGTGTGACAGACCAAACACGACAGCATTGCCTCAAAAGTGTGACTCAATTTTTGCTTCGTTTCAAACAACCTGCACAATCGAATGATCAGCACAGATCGGGCATGGTTTAGGTTTTTGTCGAGCCTTCTTATTATAAACTAACTCTCGAGACAAGTCTTGAAACACCCAGCGTCGTCAACTAGCAATTCCCACGTTGCCATAAACCTTGAAAATATGAAAGGGACTTTTAGACGAGTGAGTATAAGTTCCTACAAGAACAAGAAACGAGAAACCAACAGCAGCACTGTTCGACAGCCACTGTTGTCCCAAAAACCACTCACTGATAAGGACGAAACCAACAGATCCGAAGAAGTAATGGAATCTGGATCAAGCCACCAAATTTCTCCTTGCAAGAAGTTTCAGCAACACCATGGCATACCGGCAGTGCCAATGGCAAAGCGTAGCGCCAATGAAGTACTCATTCGACCAGTAGTCTATGTAGACTGCGAGTTTGATGCATCCATAGAACTTCCGTTTGGAGAAGACAGCATTGCAGCAAACATCAGGGACATTCGAAGACGAGAAAAGGAACGAGAAGCGTCTGCCAGGTACCTTCAATGGTGTCTCTACGCTTCATTGGCCCTGCTCCTATTGGTTGCGGCGTGGTATATTGTTTCCGCCGTCCAGATAGACCTCGGGCTGAGTCTGCAAGTAGCCCGCTCAGACTCAGTTCCGAAATTGACTCGGACTGCCTTCCTAGACGAAGTAAACAAGATCCGGAACAGTGTTCCTTAAAGAGTAAAGTCTAACAAGTGGAGTTCTGTTTTACTTGAATTGATCGTGGATGTTGGTTCCCTGCTGCTTCCTTGGAACGTAACATTGGCTGAGACTGCTGCATCTCTAAATGGCCTTTCCTCCCATCTATTCTTCTTGCATCCAGTTTATTCGTCTTGGGACTTCGAAGGTCCATGTACAGCCAAAAGGCACACGCGTGCAATGCATGCTCGTAGCTAGTAAGTGCAAATATAGAATCACACACTCCACTAGTTGAATACATGTATGTACTCAGTTGTCTAATGGTTTGTCCGAATTCCTTCAGGTTGAAGCAACTGCTTTGCAGCATCCCCGAAAGAAATTGCTTTAGAAATCCAATTCAACACCAGCTTCTTGCTTAGATCTAGCTACCTGTACATAACAGATTACAGGTCGTCATTTCCAATCCAGCTATGCATACGTAGACTAACAGATCGGCCACTGGTCACCCACTGGAGAATGGAGAGGCTAAAAGTTGAAGGCGGCTTTGGCTCGCTGAAGCTGGCGACTGTCACTCAATGGATCCACAATCAAGGCATGAGGAGGTGGATGAGGCATGAGGGCTGGTCCTAACCACATTCATGTGGTTCGTACGTTCGCACAGGAAACACATTTATTTTCGCGTATGTGTTTTCATTCTTAACCATTCGCAGATACGTCATTCGCGAATAAGCCCAACTCTCCCGAACTCTCAGCAGGGTTAGGGTGAAACTATCCCAGCAAGATTCTGCCAAAACGCAATCACCGTGCGTCAGGAAATCTCGTGATAATAGCACATGATTGTTCTTTGAAAGAATCTCGTTGGGGGCTAGTGCCTCGTGCATCATGTTGATTCTCGTGCATCATGTGGATCCACAGGCAATCATGTGCATCCCTTTGTGGCTCTAGAGTTGGGGATAGTGCGAGATAATGAGTTCTGATTTTCGAAACTCGCTAGAGTTGGGGATAGTGCGAGATAATGAGTTCTGATTGGTCCTACGCGAATTCCAAATCCACACGTTCGGCGAACCGCAGCTCCACTTTTTTACTATAAACATTTTCTGCGGTTCGCCGAACGTGTGGATTTGGAGGAAATTGAGCCGTTATTTCGATTTCGCGAACGAACGGACGTCATTTAAGCTGGATAGGACCAGTCCTGATGAGGCGCCCTCCCACCTGCCAGCTCTCACGGACCACGAACACAAGGAGAACCACAAGTCAACTTTTCTGTACATTCGATCTCTCTGGCTCATCCTGAGTGATTAAAGTGCTGTATTGAGAGGATTTAATGTCACTTAAACCTGCTTCAATTTGCTTATGGAGTAGGTGCTGTATCAAACGGGATCAATACCGTGTTCTCAATTCCACAAACTACATGTATGTAGAGAGTACTTATCCTTGATACTCAGAAACAGCCTACTCGATAATCGAGTACTCAGTACTCAGTACTCAGTAAGAGACATGAAAATCAACAGCTGCTATCAACTAGCTAGTAGCTAGACTATCAACTATCAACTCTAACTAAAGCTTCAGCTTTTCCCCCTTGTACAACAGGCAGACGGCAGACGGCAGCACCAGTCTCGGTGGGGGCTTGGGGGCAATTTCTTGGGGGAAGCAGCATCCAAACATCCACGCAAGTCCGAGAAAACTTGACTTACAAGCAACATGTACCACTGGATCTAGAAAGGAGATAGTTTTGGCTATAATTGGGTTAATACTGGAGAGAAGAAATATGCAATGGTTAAATAATCAGATAATGATTGAACAATACAGGATAAATTGAAATGTAAGACGGTATTGTTTCAGCTGGAATGTTCATAAGTAAGCAAAATAAATAAATGTCCGGACAACTTCGCGAAAGCGGAGAGGAACCTGGTGTCTACTCACTCGTATCATACTTCATACTTAGCTCAGTAGGTGTACTAGCTAGATAGCCTGGAGTACTAAGTTTCTACCGGTACTCTTCTATTCCTGATCTTGTTGCTCCGGGAGGCTTCCTGCGCTTTCCTCGAACTGTTACTGAGATGCATCACGTCAATCCCAGTCCCTGCTAGCTAGCTAGTCTACCTGCTACACGCTACACGCGCCGTTACTGGTATGCATGTCGACGCTGGCAACACACTTCCTCATTAATTATTGAAACTCTACATTTTTATTAGAACAAGGAGAGGCAAGCAACAAGACGATAGATAGCGAATGATTGACTTGAGTATAGACCCCAATCAGACGATAATGCACTTGATGGAAGACGACAATACCATGGCTATGAGGGACGCGACGAATAAGGAGGACGAACCTCCTCGTCGAGTCGCCCGAAGCCATAAGCGACGGTCCAAGACTGCCGCCTTCAAGGGCATGATGAGTGACATGAGCGATCGGTCGTTTGGTAGCATTCTGGGTGGGAGAAAGGGGGGAAGAAGAGAGGTACGAAGGATAATGGATGGGTTGCATCAGGGGTATCAATTATCGCCTAACTAGACTAACGCTTTGTTTCTTTGTTATTATCAGACCCCATGTAACTCAGATATTGACTTGGATAGTGATTCTGACACGGATGCGTCGGATGGGGAGTCATCGACAGTTGGTATCGCCCTCCCTACAAGTATTCAACCCATCGATGAGTCGAGCAAGATGCGGAGGAGGAGAAGGTCTGGACGTTCCGGTGATGGGGACGCCATGAAAAACACCAGTAGCCGACGAAAATCCAACAGAAGCAGAGATTTAAGCGGCATGATACCTCCCATGCGGAGGGTAAGATCGGGTAGTAGCCGAATGGCCATGCTGGGGGGAAGGAAATCCGTATCGGAGGAGTTTGCCGACAGCGAAGAGAGTAGTGGCGTGTTGCAAAATGCAAGTTGGGGTGGTAGAACTCCGCAACGAGTTACCCCCGGCAGGAGCAAATCCAGCAGCGCCATGGCCATGCTGGGACGCGGAACTGGAGTAATGAGGAATCGCGATGTTCCACCCAAGCCAGGCAGGAAGACGGAATTATCCCCCATCGCTAGAACTCCTGCGCGAGCAATGAGTAGGGCTAAGCTCCCGGCATTGTCGCTACGGTCAAAATCAGCTTGTTCCGATATAATGGAGATGCAAAATGCTTTGGCTGCTGGTGCCAATGATGCTGCCCCAAAAAGGCCAACTCGCAACTCTGCTGATACCGCTCCCAAAAGTCCTGTGCGCCGAACCATCTCTGGGAGTTCGTCTCTTCGCAGGAATATGTCGGCTACCAAGGCGCTTGGTTCCTTGGCCAGTCGGTCGAAATCGGCCGCTTCCGATTTAATGGCCATGCAACAAGCTTTGGCTGGGGGGATATCAACCACCGGCTTGACACGAAAACCATCCATGCTCTCCAGAAGGGCGGTTTCCAGAGAAGAGCCGGAACAAGATCCATTATTTATTGAATTGGCCAAATGGAACCCCAGGGAGGAAGAAGATCGTGCCAAATACGATGATGTTGCCGTCAAGAGGCTGCTGCGGAGAAAGCCTGACGCTGCTAGGGCCAAATATGAATTCAAATTAGGTGGACGGGGAAACCTGAGCGTCTTGCGCTATCCCTTATCCGCCTTGGTGGCGCTGGGTGCCAGTGTCGAAACAATTCGCGCGGCCGTCAAGGCATGCCCCGAAGCTTTAAGGCCGTCCCAAGACTTTCGCAGTACCGCCTTGCATGCGGCTTGCAGCACCAACACGAATTTGGAAGTGGTCAAATTCCTTTACAGCAAGTATCCCAATGCCGTCAAGGATACCACCAATTACGTCTACCTGCCTTTGCACAATGCTTGCCAAGCAGGTCTTCCGGAGCCCTGCTCACTGGACTTGATCAAATTTTTGGTGGATGCCTACCCTGAAGGTCTCATGACAATCAATAAACTGGGCGATACACCCGTGCGTACTGCGCAACGCAACAAACATGTGTTGCCGGAAGTTTTGTCATACCTGGAAGAAGAAACTGATCGCGTATTTAATATGGACGAAAATGAAGTCACGAGGCGGAGTGTGCTCGAGCGGCAATCATGGGGATCGGGTCAAATGAATGACGATGCGAGCAGGGTAGCTGCGATACTCAACCAGAGTCTGAACGGCCTGAATTGGACAGAGCATTCATCGGCAGATAATTCGTCGTCAGAGCTCGATGCGAGCTACAGGCTAAAGATGAACGATACTTCCGAAAAGAGCTTTGATGCGGACGAAGAGGGTTCATGTCTGCTGTCTACTCTTCCTCGCCTTGACGAGTAACTTTTGCGAGGGGTGAAAGGGGGGCAAGCCTGTCGATAAACCAGTAAATCTTTACTGCATTGACTACACAGCGAAATCGGCAGCTAGCTAGAACTATGAAAATAGAGTTTGTATAGTACCGCCCTGCCACAAACACTTTCGTCAACATAGCAGAAGCAACATCGCTTGGTATTTAGGTTCGAGATGGTCTAGTATCTATTCAGATCATATTTATTCAAAGACCGCCAACCTCTGGCTTGATTTTGGCAATGAAAAGGGGGCCTGCTACGAGAATTGTGGTTGACAGCAACTTGATAACAACGTGAAGACTCGGTCCGGCTGTATCCTTGAAGGGATCACCAACGGTATCGCCAGTGACTGATGCTTTGTGGGCTTCCGAGTTCTTTCCTCCAAAGTTTCCCAGTTCAATGTACTTCTTTGCGTTATCCCATGCACCACCAGCTGTATCCAAGAATAGCGCCATCAAAATACCAGTGACAGTTCCAAACATGAGGTAGCTTGCCAAAACTTCGGCTCCAAGCAACGGTCGATCCGTTGCTTCCCCCACAAACCGGAAAATCACGCCCACAGTGATGGGTGTAACGACACAGACGAGTCCGGGATATCTCATTTCTCTCAGTGCAGCTTGAGTCACCAATGCCACACACCGTTCATAGTCCGGCTTGGCTTTGTAGGTCATAATGTCAGGGTTTTCCTTGAACTGTCTACGCACTTCAAGCACAACTTCGTGAGCTGTTCGCCCAACAGCAGCAATAGCAAGTCCGGTAAAGTAAAAGATAATCATGCTTCCCAGCAACCCTCCGACCAATACTTCCGGTTTGGCAATGTCCACGACTTCAAACGGGAGACCACTGTATTCCGAGAACTCGTCCATGAAGGCTCCAAACAACAGGAAACATGCCATACTAGCACTTCCAATGGAATATCCCTTTGTAACGGCCTTGGTGACATTTCCTGCCGCATCCAGGCGATCCGTGACATCACGAACCGACTCTGGTTGCATTGACATTTCTGTGATACTGCGTGAACGACAAGCAAGATCCAAGATGTGTGTCAGGAATCACCAATAGATAAACCAGAAATTAGGGGCGTTCCTCATCCTCTTTTTCGTCGTACGTACCCTCCAGCATTGTCGGCAATGGGTCCAAAGTTGTTCATGGAAAGGATGTAGACCGCGTTGGACAACATCCCCATGGTAGCCACGGCGGTCCCAAAGAGTCCAGCATTGCGTCCATCTCCAATGCCGGTGGATGCTCCAAGATGGTAGGCTGTCAACACAGCAATAGCCACGGCAATGGTGGGCACCAGAGTTGCTTTCATTCCGACACTCACGCCCACAATGATATTGGTCCCATGTCCAGTTGTGGAAGCCTCGGCAATGGATTGAACGGGCCCGTAGGCATAATCCGTCTGGTATTGAGTGCTGAGCACAATGATATACGCACACGCCATGCCCACAACACCGCATAGAAAGAATTGAAAGGAGGCAGATGGATTGTCGGGTGTACCGAGTAGCTGGTGGGTAATGAGAAAGAATCCTGCGACGGAAAGAGCCAATGCTATGCGGTATCCCTTTTGCAGCTGTTTCATGGGATCAGAATCTGCCGTATCCCGAGTTCTTCCCACAAACGCAATGCCAATACTGGATACAATAATATCCATGGCGTGAACGACAAGAGGGAAGAACACGAACTTGGTCGCGTGATAAGAATCCATGCCCGATTCATTCGCCAAGGTGGATCCTAAAATCATGGCTCCAATAATTTCCGCAGCGACCGATTCAAAGACATCGGCACTGGAACCGACACAATCTCCCACCATGTCCCCGACCAGATCGGCAATGGTGGCTGGATTTCTGGGATCATCTTCTGGAATGGATTGTTCGACTTTTCCCACGAGATCGGCTCCGACATCTGCGGCTTTGGTATAAATTCCTCCACCCAGTTGCATGAACAGTGCGACAAAGGAAGCACCAAATCCATATCCCACCAGGAGCATGGGGATTTCGGTCGCATTCAACACTTGCCAGGTATTTTCCGTAGGACTATTTTCGCCCTTACAAAAGAGCATGTACATGATCAAGTAGAGGGTGGTGACTCCAACAATACAGAGCGTCAAGTTTAGAACGGCCGAAAAGGCGCCTCCTCGAAAACAAATGACCAAAGCTTCTCCATAGGACCGACGCCCCGCGGAAGCGACTCGGATATTGGACTGTGCAGCTACCCACATGGAAATATAACCACTAATGGCACTGCAAATAGCTCCAAAGGCAAATCCCATGGCCGCCACGATGCCCAACAAGGTATTTCCCAAAATGGCAGGTCCCGTGAGTTCTCCTTCCATATTATGAGGACGGAACTGATAACTAATGACAATCATTCCTGCCAAGGGAATGGCAAACTTGGCAATGGCGTGTATTGCACATGCAAGAATCCTTCGGCTCCTTCTCGGATGGGATCACTGACGGCTCTCATTTCAGCGGTACCATCGTCGCACTGCAAGACACTGCGACCCAGCCAGAGAGTGGCAAAGCAGCCAAAGAGACACGACGCATAGACCAGCACCAAAATGGCCCATTGGATCTTTACAAAGGGACAGATGCATAAAGATCCCACGACGAGCAAAGTTCCGTAGAGTCGAATGGAATCCAGAGACGAGGAGGTAGCATGTTGACAATGGATGCGGTCGAGTGTTTCTTGCGTTTGCGTTGCTTGCCACTGGGATGAAGAGGATCCATTTCCATATCCATAGCATTCAAACCACTCGAAGGAGAACGAGCCAACAATGGATTTCCACCACCGCCTTCCAAGTCGTCGCCGCCACCATTGTTGTTGTGGACTGGAATCGTGCTACTAGACATCCTGCCTCCCTTGCTGCCACGAAGCATTTCTGTCAACACAGGTCAAGTTTTTTGGTTCTTTGGCCAAGCAACGAAAAAGATATCAGTAGCTTAGCTTAGCTTGCACCCTATCCAAAGCAGAACAATCCAATCAGTGCTTCTGATAACAGGAGGCAATGAGGCAACTGCCGCCAGCGATAAAGCACTTTTTGGGTATGTATGTTGTTTGGGGATCTTGATGTTTTCAACGGGTCGAAGATCTTCGCGAGATTTGCCGAACCCTCCCGAAAGCAAAGATACCCCTGGAAACTTTGGTCAGAGTGGTGCTTGACAGCTCAACCAGCTTTATTGACTCCCGCGGTTCAACATGCTATGATACCTCACTGTCATGAGCTACACCATGGCGGATTGTACGAAGAACAGTGCTGGTCTGGCGAGGACATGGTCGGAGATTGTGTCGGTTCCAGTGCCGACCACCTTGAATCGGTCGCTGTGGAAAATATTGGAGCCGTGATTTTGGGAACCACCTCCAGATGAAGTGGGTACAGTCGTATGGATTCTTATCATAGGGCACCAAATTTGTGTTTTTTCCGCTGGTCGGAAATCATATCTTCTGTACCAATAACTACCAGTAACTACCAGAAAGCCTGAGTTTCAGCCAAGCACTGCCGTATCCACCTGTGCAGGCAGAAAATACACGTCGTATACCGGTTCAGCACTAAGCAATGGGCACCCTCGTGGATGAGTCCTCGCTTCTCTGATCCTATCATCTCCCCAAGCTTCAATCTCATTTGAAGCGGGCATTTCCCTACAAAAACCATGGGACAGGCGGCATTTGTGTGCAAACCAGCTCAACTAGCTTCAAATCGGATCTTCTTCTGAGATGAACATGCAAACAACGAAGATCCCGAGGATACGGCATGTATCGCGCTGAATAGCTTACACAATAACCATTGTCTGATGTCTGCCTATGCCACTGAAAAAGCCGTCGCCATTGCAGCTGT